GGCGGCGTGTTGCTAGGCCTGGGCGACAGCCGGATCCGCAGCAGGACACAAAGGGCTGCGAGTGCTGCTATGGAGGACCATTCATCACTCTCCGAGACATGACGGCTTCGGATCGAGAGCTTTCTTCGACACTACTATACCAAGGCGTTACATTTCCTACTACTAATTCCATTTTCCACCGTTCCAATGCTGCATGCTGTACTCTTCACGGGCTTTTCTACGTCTCCTAGCGCCTGCCTCCTCTCATGTTTATCTACTGAAATGCGAATGACTACGAAACTCCCCTCTGCCTATCAGTATCAGTATCTCTGCACGTGAAAATCGCCTGTACAGTCTGAGTCGCAAAACGCGCGTCTCGCAATCAATCCCACGCCAACCCGTCCCGCACCACACATAATCATCATCATCATCACCATGCCAGCCTGCCGCGAATGAATCATTAATCACCTGCACGCGGCACGTCAAACGTCAGTTGTCAACCCACGCGGCTCGGCACACGCTGCATGCGTGTTGATCCCTTTTGCACGCGCTTTGTTTGTTTGGGTGCGTGCTGATCACCATAACCTGCATTACTGTTTCCGCGCCTTGCTGGCGTCATTGTGGAGAAGGAGGATGGGTAAGGGGTTTTGCTGGTCCGCTGGTTTGCTGCCCCCCTAAGATCGGCGCTCGGAAGGGCTGTTTTTGGGTTGGTGGTCAGGGTGGGTTTAGGACGGATTGGACGGATTGGATGGACCCCGAGTGGCGGAGTTGGGTCCGCGTTTGACAGACTTGACAGGAGGGAGGGAGGGTAAGCCGTTGGTGCTATTGGAAGGGAGGAGTTATCGATGTGATGGAGTAGTTTATTGTGTGTGAAGTTTTTTTTCTTTTCTGAGTTGTTATATGGGCTAAGGAAGGTTTTCGCGGAGAGAACGGAGGTGGTGTTTTTCAATAGATGCATTCGCTTTCGTGAACTTTGTTGTTCGTTACATGTACTAGTGGTTGCGTCTGCCTGTTTATTTTCAGATACGCATACGGGTTTCGCATGGTGGTGCCCCATCCTAGAGTATTGGGCATATCTAGTCACGTTAGGAGCGCGTTGCTCCGTTTTCCATCCAATTCCCATGCCATCCTCCGAGTAGCGATCGCATCAGATTCCTGCGATCGTAATAGGTACTGAGTACAGACGTCTCCGCTTAGCATCTTTCCCTTCCACCATCAACCCTCTCTCGCTATGCCAGTCCTTTCGTTCTACCAAAATTTCCCGGTCTTTCTCCGCTCGTTGGCCAACTCTAGCTGTTCCCTGATCCCCCTCAGCTCTCCCCTGTGCCTTTCGTGCGTCTCCTCCAGTAACCTCGCGTGTTCTTTCTTCAGTTCCACGAACTCCTCTTCTAGCTTCTCATGCCATGGGTAGAGCACGAAGATCTGGAAGCAGAGCGCTGAAGATCCGATGAGGAAGTTTGTGAGGGAGAAGGTGCGGGTTATCATCATGGCGAACTCGGTTGAGCTGGGCGCTTGTCGAACTGATCTAATGGAAGGGTTCAACAAAGAGGAGCTTCTGTTGATGTGTAGAGGTGCAGTTCCCTAGGAAGGGTATCGTGAGGAGACGTTCTCTCGTGTTTGACTTGTGTGGCACTCTTCCTGCGCTAGTGGACCCGGGTGGTGATGGACTCCTCGATCGCGAAGGCCTCGGAAGTAGTGTTGAGCAAAGAACAAAGACTGTGAAATGGGAGAAATACGCGGTAAAAGGAAGGAGATCGCCAGCTGCGCGTACGAGCTGCACTTTACGAACCAAAAGTCGCTCAACATCAAGTCACATGCAACACTACCTTACATCCCAATTGGAACTTTGTCTTGAAAAGTGGCATGATGGTTACTGTTTTGGGCCAAATAGGACTAAAGCCGAAAGAAAATCAGACCACCGCGCGAAACGAACGGCATGGCTGTGTATCGGCGTGCCAGTAAATTATCGGCGATCGAGAGGTATGCTCTTTGTTTGAACCTGCAGCATAGAAGAGAAGGAATGAGTTCATGTGTCGCAAGAGATCCAGTTTGGTGGTGCGTCGTGGTGATGATGGTTGCGGGAGGCACGCGACACCTGAGCGTGGACTAGCGCCGCGCTAACTCGAATGCCAACGCGCGTTGAAAGTGGGAAGAGCTCTCCACTTCTTTGCTACATTGCAAGCTGAACAACTGCTCTTTCAATTCGGAGGCATTCTTTTGATGGAAATTTCCAAATTCCTTCGGAATGCTGGCAGTCAAACAGCAGACCCTAATGACGTCCTCTTCAGCTACTTCAAACATACGTCATCATGATACGAGTCCACCGGACCATCGGTAGTGCGGGTACAGCGCATCTATGTAAGCAGTGATACTGCAGCATCGATGCCTCCTCTTCAAAAAATCTCACATACGAGAGACGCTGCAAAGTGAGAGCAAAAACACAAAATGACGACCCCCAACATCGAGCTTCTCACAGCGGCCACACCCAACGGCCAAAAGATCTCCATTTTCCTCGAAGAACTCGGCATCCCTTACAAAACCACCGCCATCGATCTATCCAAAGATGAGCAGAAATCCGCCTCATTTCTCAAAGTCAACCCCAACGGTCGCATACCCGCGATTGTAGACCACAGTCGCGGCTCATACCCCGTCTTTGAATCTGGAGCCATCTTTCTGTATCTCGTCGAACACTATGACAAAGACTTCCAGTTCAGCTTCCAGGATAGTGACGAGCGGATGGATATGATACAGTGGCTCTTCTTCCAGAACGCCGGCGTGGGCCCAATGCAAGGACAAGCGAACCATTTCGTGCGCTACGCACCCGAGAAGATCGACTATGGCACGAAGAGATACAAGAATGAGACAAAGCGCCTCTACTCGGTCCTAGAAGCGCGACTCCAGGATAGAGACTATCTCGCAGGCAAAGGCCGCGGCAAGTACAGTATTGCGGATATCACGACCTTTACATGGGTTCGGTGGGCACCATGGGCGGGGATTGAGATGACCAAGTTTCCGAAGCTAAAGAAGTGGTGTGAGGAGATTGAGGAGAGAGATGCGGTCAAGAGAGGGCTTTTGGTGCCGTCGGGCGAAGATCAGATTGAGAAGTTGAGGAGGAATCCTGATGTGCAGGATCCGTTTAAAGCGTGGGTGAGGAAGGGCCAGAAGGAGATCGCGGATACGCATGGGAACTAGTAAGCCCATATTGCAAAATGTTGCTGAAGATAGTACCCAGGCAAGTATACACTGCCTCGAAAGCTATCTAGTTGTTATTAATAGTATGTATGTAGCAACATGCAGCACGAGTTCTAGCCACCCATAGTGCCCCTACGGCATGATCCTACGTATGATCCTCAGCATACTCCCATTCTCATGAACGAGATCGAAGAAACCTTCCTCACGGTTGCAGGAAATATCATGAAGGAAGGCAGGACTGAGTTCCCGAACTGTCAAAGTTCCGTCCTTCAGAAATTGAAAGATAGTGCCATTCGGGAGACTGGGATCTAAAGGACATACCGAGGTGTCCTCCTTTATAATCATTTTATGACCACGATTGATGGGTCCAATACGACTTTGATACGGCTCTACATCGGTGGGCCGGAAATACTGTATTTCCAATAAGTCATGCTCGCCGAATCCCTCGGTAACACCCATAAGGTGACCGTAAGGAAAATTCATCTCGAGTGGGCGTTGGCTGGCGAAGAAGGTCGGTGAGGCCCAATATTTGATGCCTTGGTGCAGCATCTTGCGAAAACGGACCAGCTGGAGCCAACGGGGGATGTTTGTTCCTCGATACCACACGTCCTCATCGGGGCGTCTGCGTGCTGTTAATAGAGAAGTAAGGACATGGTAGGCAATGAGCCAACGAGCTTTGCGCTGCAAATCCTCGACGTGTTGGGGGAAGGCAGACTGGTCGTAGTACATGAGGGCGGCGCGGATACATTGCATGACAATTTCGCCTTGCTGGTGATCCAGTAGCTCCGTAGCCTTTAGGCACAACTCTGAGTTGTCAATTTCGTGCGCAAAGAGCGTAGCGATAGCTGCGCGGCCTTCGTCTGTGAGGCGTGTAATCCTACGAGACGGTGGCTCGCTATAACCAAAACGCGCAGTAAACGCTGCGCGACCCATATCCACGATCGAAAGTGGTTTCCTATAGCATTTTGTCTGCTCGATAATCTGAGATGCATTGCGGTGGTACCATTCGTCCAAGAAACGGGGAAGAGCAGACCAGAAACCGTCTTTCTGCAAGGCGTCCTCAATAGTCGGGCCGGAAGGATACAGCAGCTGCGGATCTTCGGTTTTGTCGTCGTTGTATACAATCTGGATATGAAGCGCCACAAGATTGTCATAGAGTTGGGTAGTTTGCTGGTAGGTAGTGTTCGGGATACTCGGGGGCTTCGCGGGCGGCTGTGGCATCTTCTCGAAGAGTTCGCGACGGCAAAATGGACACAGATTGCTGACTTCCTCTCCATCTTCCGTTGCAAAGGTTATGAGAAGACAGTCTTTGTGAAGAGGATGTCGAGAGCAGTGAGGGCTTGGCTCGACGACTTCCTGGGCCGGATACTCCCACTCACCACGACATATAGCACACGTTGGCTCGTCCGCTGGAGGTGCGACTGAGCGTAGGTTGGCAACATAATCTTGTTTCGGCGGGAGCCATTCGAGCTCAGCCACGGTCTCGTCGCCGTATTCTGTAGGCATCCTGGTCCGGCGACGCGCGATCGAGAAAGTGGCATGGTGGGTGAAAAGGAAGCGAGCAATCACTTAACTGTCCAGAGTAGGAGCTCGTGTGCCAACAATGCGCAATGGCTGTGTTGTGAAATTACAGGAATTGAGATATAGGAACGTGTTCTGTCGACTACGTTAGTGTACAAGAGAAGTGGATAAAATCTTGAGGTAATGTGGAGTTTCAGGACATAGATATTGAGTTCTTTTCCTGCATGAGATGCTCCATCAACGGCGTCGCCAAAGCATCTAATTCGAACTCACCATGTAAAGCCTATATCTATCGCTTGTGACCGAGTCTAAGCCCATATGATATGTCTTCTAACCAAATTCAGCTCCTCGAAGGAGGAATTTGCACGTTCGCCACCCTTCCAACTATCGATCTTCAGCGGTGAGACTGGCGCACTTTTCAACGACCTTTTCTCCGCGCAATCTGGATCTTCAATAGGCTCGGGAGGTTCTGTCGGGGGCGCTCGCTCAACCTTAACAAGCATCGAAACCTTATTGAAATCCCCATTCGGTATGAAAACACGGATCTCAGTAACCCATCGATTGTGGCCAAACCGAGTCTTGTGTTGGAGGAGGAAGAACATTACTGCTACAAGGTTCGGCGATCCTAGAGACTGGTAGTTAGTGCATATCCTGTAACTGTTGAGAATTCGAGAGCTTCTGGTGAACATATCAGAGAAAGCTTCAATCGTATACATACCCAGCAGAGCGATGAAGTTCTGATTCCCAGCTCTAAAGGTGTATCCTGGCGCATTCGGCACAGCATTTTGTCCCATAGCTCTACTGATGATCTTACGCGTTTCCGGGTTCGCAACTGCCACCGTGAAGAAGTAGTTGATGTTGGACAGGCTTTCTTTGCAATGCCTATTCCAGAGACCCCAGGCAATATCCGAGCTACTTTTGAGGGCAGGCATTTCGTCCGGCTTGACGGAGGGTACATTCCATAGCTTTCTCGCCGCGTACGCGGGGCTCTCACGAGTCAGAAAGAAGATGATACCAGCCTTTGGATTTATTCCAATGGTGGAATCCGCGCCGGTAACCTAGAGCAATGTCAGCTGCATTGCGTCAAGTTTTAGCCATATCGATTTCTATGTGCTCACATACCCTGTATCTGCGCCCTTCAACTTTGTAGTATTGTTCCTTAGGATCTTCTGGTACTTCACCGTTCTCATCTTTCTCCAAGGTAGGCCCGTCTTGATGTTGGATTGTGTGACAGATGTTGTCCCCTCCATCACGTGAATCTCTATCATCTGCATGTAGCTCTTTGAGCATATCTTGAAGGCCGTGGTTTTCTTTCCCCATGACACAGTTTTCGTCAGAGTCTTCAACTTCCGGGTAGTCAGGTTCCGAGTAGCCCCAAAGTGCTAGTTCGCGTTCGAGGGTTCCATCCCAGGGAGTTTCCATCTGTTGATAGACCTTGGCAGCCTCTGGAAGGTTCAAGCTCGTGGCTAGTATCAACATTCGGCCTTTGCTTAACGCAGCATTCCATAGGACGTCATCGGCGGGTTCTGTCGTCTCGGTGTCAACTAATACGGCGGTTTCGATCCTGCCTTCGTCGATAGCAGCGCTGGAGACATTGGAGTAAGACAAGTCGAAGACGTTAGCGGTGGCAGAGGCGAGAAGAACAGCACCGAGCGCTAAGAGCTTCGAGATCATCAGGGTAGAATCTAACCCTGGTGGAGGTATTTGCGAGAGTTAAATCGTTTCCAAAGTGGAGCTCCCTGGGTACATATTTAAGTAGCTGGCGCGTAAAGGCCACACAGGTCCGGGCTTTTTCCGTTGGTAGCAATGAAAGGTCGACCAGCGCGAAAGAGCAGCAGTTCCTTATTCCCTATCGGCGATTTGATATATGAAGGAAATGAAACGTTGTAGCTACCGAGAGTCACTGTATCTCACACCGCGCGGATCTACTTCCTCAAGCGACGTTTTTGACCCGAGTACCCCAAAGATGAATGCTACCTAGATACACTTACATGTGCGAACAGATCACTCTGAGTAGACGAGACGTCGTCGCAGCCTTCGAGATAGTTTTCAAGTAGAAACGTGGAAAAAAATGGTGAAAGGAGCTGCTGATTTGGATACGAGCAGATGAATGCATTATGGAGGCCATGGCCGGTATCTGCACGACATAGTTAAGCCTAGTAAATCTCGCCATCGCCTTCCTCGTCATCGTCATCTCCACCTTCATCATCACATTCATCAGATGCCCATGACGAGTACCACTCATTATCCATATCGCGCACGGTATTGGTACCGCAGTGGACCTCGCCGCCGTAGTTGTGATGTGTGTTCCAGTCGTCGATGTAGATGACATCCATACCCACACTGGCGTACAGCGACTTGAGCTTCTCGGCAAGAACATCCGTTCCGTCCACAACGGGGCCCCAGGGGTTGGGGGCAATGTATGTGTCAAAGTCGGTCAAGACAATGCCGTTGATAACACCGGGGAAGAGCGCACCGACCTTCAGCTCATTTGTCGCGTTATCGGAAGAGTTTCCGCCAAATGTCGAGCCACTTGTCGCATTACCGGAAAGGATTGCGGAAAGGTCGCCGAAAGGATTTCCGTTGAACATCTCAGGGAGGCGAATAATCTCGTCGTCAGTAACTCCTGTTGCTTCCTTGAGGATCTGTAGATTACCCTCGATACGCTCGGCGCAGCGCTTCTGCACAGACATGAGGTCCTCATTGGCAAGCAACTCATTGATAGTGATTGGCGGAACGGGAATAGCAGCACAGGCGAAATCGGAAGTGCAGTTGTCGAATGATTGGCTATCGTTCTTGCGCGAAAAGGCGTGCTCTGAGCCGTGTCCGCTGTCCTTTAGCTGCTGGAGCATTTCGACGCCCATCATGGGATCGGTGACCATAACGGCCCAACCACGAGGTGAATCGACAGGGATGAACTGGATAAATTCGTCAACGTGGCCGATGACCAGCCAGTCTGTATCGAGAAGAAGGGGATCTTGTGTCTCTTGAGCTTGGAAGAAGGGAAGCATGAAGTGTTTCTGCTCGCCATGGTTGCCAAGAATCAGACGACCGGCAGGCCAGGCAGTGCCATTAAACTCGTAGGGAGGAATAGTCTCGATATTACCACCGGAGTTAATCTCATCGCGGGCACCACCGAGCTGCTGAACAGCGCCGATACCAGTGTCGCGGTAGTATTCGAAGAGCTGTCTGCCGGCAACACGCTCGTCCTGGGGAGAACGGATCATGATACGCAGGGTGATGGGTCCGTCGGGACCGGGCATCGAAGCGAAGCCAGGCTCCATGAAGTCCTGCGCCCAGATATCATCGCTTCCGGAGAAGAGGTAAAGTTCCTCTTCGAGGCCAGACTCGTTGACGGCTGTTTGAAGGGCGTCGGTGAAGCGAAGGATCCATGGATTGCCGGTCTCATTACCTTTGACAGCAATGACCTGCTGCACAGGGTCGAGATGAGTATGGGTGAGGACAGGTGCAGCGCGAAGCATGACATCATCAGAAGAGGCACCTATCGAGCTCTCGACATCGAAGCTAATAGTAACGCGGCCGTCCCAGCCATTGGGTCGACGGGTGTCGCGTCCGTCAACACCGAGGACAAGACCCTCACGCAGAGCGGCTGCGCTGAAAGTGGAATTGCCGTCGACATAGCTCCAGGTGCTGTTTTCGCTCGCCTTGTGGAAGATGCGGACATACTTGCGCTGCACGGGATCTTTGATGTAGATGCGACCATGAGCGTCATCGGGAAGCTCAGGCAGTGGAACTGTGCGGAGCGGAGCGAGATATTGCTCGGAGCGCATGACATTGTCAGAAGCATCGTTGCAAGCATCAATTCGCTCGTTGCTGACCGAAGGACCATTGAGGAGGGCGTTAGAGCAACGCTTGTTCGTGTCTCCAATGTTGGGGAGAAAGATGGCGCCATAGTCGGCAGTCCACTCGGTCTTGCCGTCGCAGTCCTCGCAGTCTTCCACGTCTGTGATGTCGACCGTGCCGTCTCGATTGGTATCAGCTCGGATATCGGCCTTGACCTTGCTGGTTGTAGATGCATTGGTTGGTGTTAGATCGATTGATGCGTCTGATCCACGCGAGACGACTCCGGCAAAGGCGGGACACGCAAGGCCTGATTTGAATTAGCTTTTGTCCATCTGAAAAACGATTGAGTAATGGGTAAGCTTGGTCTGATACTTACAGAGGCCTGAGAGAGCAAGAAGCGCTTGAGAACGCATCTTGAAGCTTGCTCGGAACGATGGATGTAAACTGTTCCCGACGCTTCACCGGGTGTTTATAGGATGGCCGTTCTGGAGCGAATCTTAGATATAGAACGAGATGATCTTCCACTCAGTTAAACGTTGCCTCTATATACAGCTTCCCGATAGCGAGGACGTCACCAGCCGATGCCAATCTTGTTGCCATGACGTTTCCGAAAAGGGCGTTCCGTCGACAAGACCTCGGGAGGCTGTGTTCTCTGTAGATAGGCATCATACAGCCGGCGTATAGCTTGCACAACGTTACCCGAAATGAGTCGACTCCAGTAGCTTGTTAACGAGATCAGTGGATGTTGTGGATGCCCAGGTGTTGTCGCAGTGGAGACGGAGGTGATGACAGTCAAATTGGCGTTTCCGACCGGCGGATTATACGCTGGAGCCAATCACGGTCGTCGTGTCGGGCCGATAAGATGAACTAGAACGCATGATCGGGACTCCCATCTCCTTGTTCTTCTTCCTAACAATTGCGCGTCCTCAGCCCTTACTTCGACTGTGGCTTCTTTGAAAAATAGCACCGCCTCAACCATTTTGAGTTTGTGGGTGAACTCGTATTTATAAGGTGAAGTACCCGACATACGCCACAGCCAATAACATGATCATGGATCTGCCGGTATTGACAAAGGGCCCTCGAGTGCGCACCTTCTCTCCCAAAGTTCGCACAGGATGTAATACATGGTACGTTCTCCAGAATCGTGGTGAAGTGCAGCTGCCTCATCTTCTTTCGTTCCCTCTTCCCACTCTATCGCCTCTGTACCTGCGATCCTTAAGAAACACCGTGTTATACACCGAAGATGACCTTTCTGCGCGCGACAATTTGGGTGGTCGACACAACGGAGCTTTTGCTAATGTGCTTTCGCAGCAAGTAAGTGTGTTTGGGCGTTATCTCCCCAGTGCACCACCTCTTTCTTCATACCAGGATTTTGTGTTCCGCAACTGTGTTTGGAAACAGCGTGGTATCCACGATCGCCCAACATATCAGGCTCAACATACTGACATGCCGCGTGTTGATCTACAGAATACGCCGAAAGAAATGTGACGAAGAGAAACCAACCTGCCGTCGATGTAGAGAGGGCCAAGTGAAGTGTGATGGGTATGCGCCACTGCCACCTCAAAAGAAGCAATCACCTACTGGAGAGAAAGCCATCCAAGCCTCTGCAGCAAGCAAGTGTACCGTCGCTCGTCGTCAGACGCGTAGCATATCCCCAGACGTCGGATCTGGCTTTGGCCTTTTCGGTAGCGCGCGCGAACGGCTCTTCTTCTACCATTTCTGCTCCATCACCATCGTCGATTTCGTCCGTCTCGCCACTCCGAAAGACTTCTGGTCCCGAAGAGTGCTTCCAATGAGCCATAACGAGCCTGCGGTACGACATGCAGTGGTTGCGCTCGGTGCAGCCCATCAGCTCTACCTCCAAAAGCTTTCAGCGCCTCTTCTGGATGATACAAACGAGTCGATGGCCCGTCTGGAAGTCATCGCCACACAGCATTATAACAAAGCCATTGGAGACTTAGTGAGCATCAAGGATTCTCAGACGTCAACAACCGTTAATGCTGAGGTCACGATTCTGACCTGCTGTTTACTCTTTGTGTGCTTGGAGAACTTGCTCGGTCGCTTTGACGAGGGCATTCGTCACATGCGGGCCGGCGCACGTCTGTTGGAAACATGCAACCTGTCGGCCGCTTCAAACGACTCAAAACAGCTGATGCAGGAGATCGGGACCGTGTTACTTCGCTTCGGTGTGGACGCAGCCATGCTCGTCGACGACGAAGACGTCATCTCCGACATGACACCATACGCCACGCCATTGATCGAAATTGACGAAGAGCGTACACCATTTTCAAGCGTCCCAGAATGCAAAGAGGCCTTATGGGACCTAGAAATCAGGCTGTTCAATACCGATCCTGGTTGTGATGGAGATGAAGAGACTACGATAGATCGTGGTCTAGATAACGAAACGATAGAGCTCACCGCATCTTTCGAGCGTTGGAAGAAGAAGTTCGACCTCCTCGTCTCAGCTTTGGCCGACTCACGGAGTTTACCGAAGGAAGTTCAGCGCGAACTACTTGTCCTCATGCTTCGCAGATGCGCACTGGAAATAATCCTACTTCCAGAGACTGAAGACAACGACGAAGAGTTATCGAGGCTCAACTATGAGCTCCTGGACATGGCGGGGCATTTGTATAGTATGGAGGCATCGTGGTTGGGACGGCCAATGTTCACGCTGGATAGCGACACGATTCCTTCGCTGTTTTTTACAGCGACATTCTGCGAGGACCCTATCTTGGTTCAGCGCATCATCACTCTTTTACGCCAATCTCGGCGGCGAGAAGGCCCTTGGGATAGCTGGGAAGCTGCGAATAAGCTTGAGCTAGGGCCAAAGATACTGTGTAGTGTTAGCAATTAGCTGGCTTCAATTCAAC